AGAGGGTGAAGGGCCGTGTTTGCACCAAGGTGATGTAGAAGCCAGCTTGCCCTCTTGCTCATGGGTTTCTAAAAACACCACCAGTTTAGTTTTCTTTATCAGAACCTAGGAACAAAGAACATAAAAAGAAGAGGTTCGGCCAGGCGAAGTTGCTCACACCTGTAATCCCAGCACTTCGGGAGGTCGAGGCGGGTGGATCATGAGATGAAGAGATCAAGACCATCCTGGCCAATGTGATGAAACCCCCATCTCTACTAAAAATGTAAAAATTAGCCAGGAGTGGTTGCGTGCACCTATAGTCCCAGTACTCGGGAGGCTGAGGCAGGAGGATCACTTGAACCTGGGAGGTGGAGGTTATAGTGAGCCGAGATTGTGCCACTGAACTCCAGCCTGGGCGACAGAGTGAGACTCTGTATCAAAAAACAAAACAAAACACAAAGAAGAAGAGGAGGCTCATGACTGTCTTACTGTTCTGAGATTTGCTAGAACAGCAATTGTGTGTCATTTCAATGGGAGCATGTCAGTCATCTTTTCGTGGCCCCAGCCTCTTAGGAGACCCCCAGGCCCCCTGCCAGCCAGAGGCACTGAAGGAACATAGAGACGTCTGAGAGATGGCAAGAACTGACTGTGGCCACCACCAGTGATGGCTGGTAGCCTGAAACAGGTGGCCCAAGGTAGGGTGGGAGCATTTTTCTCTCCACCTGGCCAGCCACGAGCTCTTGCTGGAGTCTGGGGAACAGGCAGCACTGGACCCTGTGGTGAAGGCGGAGGTTCCTAAGCTCAGTGGGGACAGGCCTCGACCTGACCTCTGGAGGGTGACCAGTCCCTTCTGCTCCTGTCCCAGATTGGTGGGCTCTGTTTTCATGGTCCATGAGCAGGGGACACGGCTGGGTTCCATGGATACCCTCCTGGTTTGTCTCCCTGCCCTCGTGGCCTGTGAGCAGAGGACAGGACTCAGTTCCATGGACACTCTTCTGGTTTCTCTCCTGGCCCCCAGCAGCACATGGTTTTATCAGTGAGACAGTGCCCATGGGCGTGTGCCCACACGTCCTTCAAAACCTCCCACTGGGCAGCTGAGCACCCCCAGCAGGGGCCTCTGGATGAGCTGAGAGCAATGTTTCAGGAACAGGAAGTCAGTGACAGAGCAGGATGGTGTGAGGTGCAGGCTAGGGAGGACCGAGGGCTCCAGACGACTCCAGGGCCGAGAGAGATGATGAGCCCCCACTTCTTGGGCTCCCGAGCACAAAAGCAGAGAGAGGGTCCCAGTCCTGCCTGGGGGCGGCTGTGGACTGAATGTTTATATCGCCCCAAAAATCCCAATGTTGAAGCCCTTACCCCGATGTGATATTTGGAGGTGGGGATGTTGGGAGGCAATTAGATGAGGTCCTAGCGATGGAAGCCTTGTGATGGGATTGGCATCCTTATAGGACAAGGAGGTGGCGGCCAGGCCTCACTCTACCGTGGGAGGATACAGCAAGAAGCTGCCATCTGCACACCAGGAAGAGCCCTCCCCAGAACCCCACCAGGGCCTTCAGGCCTCTGTAGCTATGATAAACAAGCTGTGTGGTTTCAGCCACTTGTCTATGGCATTTTTGTCACAGCAACCTGAGCTAAGATGGGCAGAGGCTGTCCCCTCCCCCTTGGCTGTGTCTGTAAGGGAGGGCAGCCCCAGGGAGAGGCCAGGCTGTGGGGAGGCTGCTGGGCTTCCTGCTCACAGCTGAACACCTCTCTCCTCCCTCCTGGGAGACAGCACGGGGGCTGCCGGGCCAGACTCCCCAGCCTGGGCCGATGCTCCTAGAGTCAGGTTCAGGGCCACACCCACGACCCCAGCAAAGCTTTGTCCCGTGGCCAGCCCCAGCACCTTCTCTGCCTATTCCTATGAGAGCCATCAGCCACATCCCCAGGGACCCGCCTGAGCAGAAGCAGCTCTCTGGAGAGCCGTGCGCACCAGCCTGGCACCATGGCAGGGAGGGTGTGACCGAGTCTCCTGCGGTCTGGACCAAGGCCCTGCTTTACCACTAATGAGCTGTGCGACTCAGGTAGCCAGAGCCGTCTCTGAGCCTTGGTTTCTTTGTCTGTATAGTGGGGATCATAACACCCGCCTCTTTCACACTCAGTGGCCTGGGCTGTGGCACCTGGTCACATAACTGTTCACCAAATGTGCCGGAGGGGGCGGGAATTGATTCCCTCCTGTTCCGGCATCCTTCTCTCCCTCAGCAGCTTGCATGGGGCAGAGCGCTCTGGGTGTTTATAAGGTGAGCTGCCCTCAACCTACATGTGTGTGGAGGGTGCAGAAGGAAAAGCTCACGTCTCTGGGGCCACACTGGTTTCCACCTGTGCGCCATGTCCACAGGAATGGTGGGGATTTGCGAGGAAACCAGAGCTAACCAGCACCGGCACTTCCTTTCTCTCTCCTTTGCCCACATTGTGTTTCTGGAGCCTGCCTCATGGGCAGACGGGGACCCTGTTGTTGAGGTAGAAGAATTGGAAGCAAATGGTGGGAGGGGTGGAGAGAGGCAGCTCTCTTGGAGAAGGGGAGGGTCACCAGACTATGTGAGGGATAGTGGCCTAGGGCTCCAGGGGACAGGCTACTGGTCTCTGGAGAGGCTGGAAGCCAGTCTAGCAACGATCCAAACCCAAGACAGACACAAGGATGGTCAAGTGCTCCCACTGCCTTTCGAGGGTCCATGAGAGCTTGGGAAGCAGCAGGCCAGCAGTGAGGAGTGTGGATGGCTCACGGTACCCTCTGCAGATGTGCTGGGCCATCAGAGACCCCAAGCCTAGGACCTTCTTAAGAGCCGGAAAGGGGCCCCAATTATGGCTGATTTTCCTTCCAACCCAGAGGGACAGGAGCTTGGAGCAGATTGCATTTTATTCGGAGAAATAAAAGCGAGGCAACATTTCTCATATTGGAGGATTGGATGGTAGCAAATCCATCCCCTCATCCCCCGGAATGTATCATAGCTTCCCTCCCCTGTGAGCTTGCCCCCCGCCACCCCAGGAGCACTGAGTTCAGTCACCAAATCAGGCCAGTGACGACATGCTTTGGGAAGCCAAGTTGGTGACATTTTCCTCTCCATGGAGAGGTGTGCTCCTTCCTCAGTTGGCAGCCTGTGAAAAGGCCAAGCCACAGATCCAGCCTTTCCTTGGCGGGGGGCTGCAGAGAGCCCCCACTCATGCAGGGACCAGGTGGCTTCCATGTGGCAGAAAGATGGATGAGCTGGGGCATGGGTCCTGAGGAGTCGCCAGCTATCGCTGAATCAGACTCTCCCAGGTTTGCCTGCAGCCAGTCTCAGCCCCAGCAGTCTGCCTCTGCCTCGCAGCATGCTGCTTTCATACCTCTGCTTGTTGCTGTGCATTTAGGGGAAGGAAGGTAAGTACAGTCATGCATCACGTAACAACATTGCACTCAGCTAATGTGGTCCCCTGCCATTCTAACACTGGGTTTTTACTGTACTATTTCTATGATATATTTAGAGACAGAAATACTTTGTGTTGTTACAGTTGCCTTCAGCATTCGGTACAGTAACATGTCATACAGGGTTGTAGCCTGGGAAGCAGAGTATACCAGCTAGCCTAGTGCAGCCAGCTACCCCACTGAGGTTTGTGTAAGTGCAAATACTTTATATGGTGTTTGCACAGCGATGCAGTCACCTCACAAGGCATTTTCTCGAGACATATTCTTGTTTTTAAGCGACAGTAATGGTAAGTTATGAGTTTAAAGCAAAGCTCCTTTCCAGCTCCCAGAAGCTCCTGGGCTTGGGATCTGATGGCCCAGCACACCAGCAGACTGTAGAATCCAGTTTTTGGCTATTTCTGTGTCCAGAGAATATGATAAAATGTCTCTAGAATCAGACCTGAATCCAGTACGTGCTTGCCACGTGAACCTGAGCAAATCCTCAAACTCTGCCAAGCCCCAGGTTCCCACCTATAAAATGGGCCTCAAGTTTATGGAATGGGGGTGCGAGGATCATTAAATGGAGCTTGGCATATAGGAGGTGCCTTGAGTTTACAGAATGGAACGGGGTACAGGGATCATTAAATGGGGCTTGGCATATATAGGAAGTGCCTCAAGTTGACGGGGTGCAGGGATCATTAAATGGGGCCTGGCATAAAGGAAGTGCCTCGGGTTTATGGAACGGGGTGCGGGGATCATTAAATGGGGCTTGGCGTATAGGAAGTGCCTTGGGTTTATGGAACGGGGGTGCGGGGATCATTAAATGGGGCTTGGCGTATAGGAAGTGCCTTGGGTTTATGGAACGGGGGTGTGGGGATCATTAAATGGGGCTTGGCATAAAGGATGTGCCTCAAGTTTACGGGGTGTGGGAATCATTAAATGGGGCCTGGCATAAAGGAAGTGCCTCAAGTTTGCAGAATGGGGGTACGAGGATCATTAAATGGGGCCTGGCATAAAGGAAGTGCCTCAGGTTTATGGAACGGGGTGCAGGGATCATTAAATGGGGATTGGTGTAAAGGAAGTCCTCAGGTTGCTAGCAGCATCTCTCACGAGTCTGAAGTCGGACGCACAGGCGGGCTCTGGGTATGCTCATGTGTAAATGTGTGTCTCTTTGTTGAATCACACCATTTCCTGCCCCCTTTCCAGGTAGCACCATGATCTGCTCGTGGAGACCAGATCACAGGCTGCTGTGTTTGCCTGGACCCTCCCCTGGCACTGGGCGTTTGGGTTATTTCCAGTTCTTTGCTGTTGAAAATGATGCCGTTGTCAATGTCAGCAAGCTTAGTTTTCTGCACAATTCTAACAGAACCTAACTGTGGAGAGAATCTGTGGATGGGGCCAGCCATTATGTCCACAGCCAACTAAGGGTTTTGGGATTATCTGTGCCTTTGGGGTGATTGGTTCCTTCTGTCCTGAAGCACGAGCCACTCCTTGGGAGATGCCAAGTGTCCCTCAGTTGTAGTGGACGAAGCCCCTCTGTCCGCTGCAGCTGGAGGAGGAGGCGGCTGCAAGTCTTTACAACCCTGTGTCCTCTCTCTTGTAGAAAGTCTGCACCAAGTGTGGGATCGAGGCCTCCCCTGGCCAGAAGCGGCCACTGTGGCTGTGTAAGATCTGCAGTGAGCAAAGAGAGGTAGGGTGTCCTGGCGGACAGGAGGGGTGATGGGTGGGGCCGGGCGCTCCCAGAGGGGATGGGCAGACGGTCACTGGGAGGGGTGTCTTGGAGGGCACGAAGAGTTGAGTACTGGGGAGGAAACACAGCCACAGCCTGCTGGCCAGCCGCCTCCATGCAGGGGTGGCCGTTCTAGCTGGGAGAGGCAGAGGCTTCAGTGGGAAGCGCCTGGCACGGAGTGTGTGGGGTGGTTTACACAGTCAAAGTTGCAGCTACCCAGGGTGAGTGCTGGCCCTGTGCCTCACCCTGCGGTAAGTTCCCTGCTATGTGAATCCGTTTCATCCCTACATGGCCCCTGGTGGTGCTACTCCTCCTCCTTTCCCTGATGGGGAGATAAAACACACAAGGTTGAATAATCAGAACTGAGTGGGAACAGAGCTAGAACAGCTTGGGGGAAGTGCCCTGGGGAGGCGGGTGGGGACGCCAGCGTCTGCTCTTCAGACAGGGATTTATTAACTTTTTACATCTCGCTGGCCACTTGGGATGTGCTTATCATCTGCAGGTAAGCAGACAGCTTCAGTTCTGGAAAACTCAGCTGTGATGTGCCATTCCCTGCCCCCGGAAATCCCACTGGTGCATTCAGTGCCTTAACCACCCTCTGCAGCCCCAGCTGCTCTCATTCTTGTCTTCACGTCCCGCCATGCTTTCTGGGTGGATTCCTCGGTTCTGCCTTCCACGTCACTCAGTCTTTCCTTGAGGTCCCCTCCCCCGGGGTTGTGGGTCATCTTTCTTAGGGTTAGTTTTCCTCGGATGTTTTGGAATTTTGGTTTGTGCGCTCATCCTGTGTGATGGTCCATTTCTCTCTCCTTCCCACCCAGCTCTTCTGGCCAGATGGTTTTGTAGCTGCCTCCATCTGGGCCCTGGGCCACCAGCGTGGAGCCAGGCATCCTGGGTTTGTGGTGAGCTGCCCATTCATGCTGATAACAGGGCACGAGCGTCGCGGAGGTCTGCCATGGAGGTGCGAACTGGATCTGGTTATTCCCAGATCCTCGTCCCAGCTGTGACAGCTGGGCCAGGCCCTGTGGCTGCTGCCTTGCTTTCCTCTGAGCTCATGTCCTTGTACGTGCTCTAGTCTTGGAGCGGGAGCCTGCCGTTTTCTTTCCCCGATGGAAAATCCCCTCACCAGCCTGATCTTAGTGACTCTGCTCTGGTCCCCCACCTCCCAAGGGACACTTTTAGTCCCCGAACCCTGGAAGACCAGTCTCCCAGCTGCCTCTCTCTACTTCTGGACCCAGAGCTTTGCAGGCTGTGGCTTCACCACTCTAAATGGCAAATACTTTAAATTTCTGATCCATTGAGATATAGATCTTGTTTTTGCACACGTTTACTTGCTGCCGTTGTTGTTAAAATATTTTCCTCTATTACAGCTTTATCTTTGGAATAGGGAAAGCTGCAGGTAGGGCCTCAAAGTGTCTGCTAGCATTCTGTCTTGCTGGGAGTACCTGACTCCTCTTCTCCAGATGGAGTTAGTAATACCCACTTCACAGAGTTGCTGTGAGAATTCAGTATGATTGCTAAAGTGGGCAGAATGTCCAGTGAAGAGTAGATGTTCCATAACTGTTAGAGGCTTCCCTTCCTCCTCAGCCAGACATCTCCCCTTTGAACTTGGGGTCCTTCTTATCTCCAGGTGACCTCTTCGAAGTTGCAGATGTCCATGGAAAAGGAAATTCCTTAGAACATTATCTTGTGGGCAGACACTTAGTGGGATGAAATGATGGTCATAGCTGAGCTGTGGGAGGGCAGAAGTGAAGGAGCTTTGAAGGAAAAAAAGGTGAATGGAAGGAAAGACAAATTCAGCAAACTTAATGATTTAGTCAAGGGCTGCTCCCTATGAGTCACCCTCACACTCCTTAGCAGTCTCGAGACACCACCAGCCTGTCCTAATCTCCAGCGCACTGCAGTGCCCAGAAAAGACCGAAATGGCTTAGGATGAATTTTCTTATCTTTCCTAAGGCAGAGAATATGAGGCTGTGCGTTACACTATCACCTTGTCCTTGAATTTTTAGAGGCTAAAACTCAACCTCTAAAGGATCAAGAATGTTCCCCTCTGCAGCACCAGTGTAACAGTGGCCATTTGTTAGGAACGGATGGGGCCGGGAGCACAGTCATGGTATCTGAGCCTGGGTACTATGTGCTGGATCTTTCTGTCTGCGTTTGGGATGTAAAAAGGCTGGCGGGTTTCCTAGTGCCCTTTCTTCTTAGAAAAGTGTCTAATCATAAGGCTATTTAAAATGTCAGATTTTAAGCTGGTTCTGAGTCTGTGATGAAAGTTCAAAGTTCTGTCTCCCCGCAAAAGCCAGATCCTAATGGGAGAACTTGGGTTTTCTGATGAAAGCTCTTGTAGCACTCTGCCCAAGCCCTCTTATCTTCCTTTCCCTTTGGTGCTTCACTTCCATCATCTCTGGCTGTAATTGTTAAGTACTTTTTCTGGAGTGAGTCAAGTGCTGGTGAGACATTTTTGGGGCTGTCAGGGGGATGTTGCTGCCTGTTGTATACACTTTCACCGAGTGGCAATGTGAGTCTCAGCCCCTCTGCTCTGGGGGAGCCTGCAGTCTAATGCATTTATTCACATAGGCAGGTGACAAATTTATTGAGCATCTCCTATATGCCAGGCAAAGTAGCTCTTCCAGTGGGAGAGGGAGACCACAAACCCAGTAAATTCTGCAATGTCACAAGTGGTGAGCAAGTCCTTAGGGCAAAGGGGAGAAGGGATGCAGGGACATTGCTATTTTATATGGGGATCAGGGAGGGGCTCACTGACAAATGACTTCTGAGTGGAGATCTGAAGCACCTTCTGTGGCTGTGTGGAGAGAAAGCATTCCAAGCAGGGGTAGAGCAGGTGCAAAGACCCTGAGGCAGATGTGTGCGCTTGGTAGGTTTGAGGCACAGCGAGGAGACCAGTGTGACTGGGGTTTAGTTGTGGCTGGGGAGAGGTTGTCAGATGTATTAGTCTGTTCTTAGGCTGCTAATCAAGACATACCTGTGACTGGGTGATTATAAAGGGCAAAGGTTTAATGGACTCACAGTTCCACATGGCTGGGGAGGCTTCACAATCATGGCAGAATGTGAAAGGCATGTCTTCCATGGTGGCAGGCAAAGAAAGAATGTGACCAAGTGAAAGTTTCTCCTTATGAAACCAGCAGACCTCAGAGACTTACCCATTATCATGAGAACAGTCTGGGGGCACCCACCCCTGTGATTCAATTGTCTCCCACCAGGTTCCTCCGACAACACCTGGGAATTATGGGAGAACAATTTAAGATAAGATTTGGGTTAGGACACAGCCAAGCTGTATCAGCAGAGATATGACAGGGTGCTCTGACCATGCTGGTGCTTCGAGACCTTTGGAAGGACTATGTCACTCAGGCTGTAGTGCAATGACACGATCTCAGCTCACTGCAACCTCTGCCTTCAGGGCTCAAACAACCCTCCCACTTCAGCCTCCCAAATAGCTGGGGCTACAGGTGGGCGCCACCACACCCAGCTAATTTTTTGTATTTTTGTAGAGGTGGGGTTTTGCCATTTTGCCCAGGCTGGTCTCAAACTACTGAGCTCAAGCAATCCACCTGCCCCAGTTTCCCAAAGTGCTGGGATTACAGATATGAGCCACCATACTTGGCCAGAATTTTAAAATTTTTTTTGAGATAGAGTCTCACTCTGTTGCCCAGGCTGGAGTGCAGTGGTATGATCTTGGCTCACTGCAACCTCCGCCTCCCACGTTCAAGTGATTCTCCTTCCTCAGCCTCCCTGAGTGGGTGGGACTACAGGCATGTACCACCACACCCAGCTGATTTTTTGTATTTTTGTAGAGACGGGGTTTTGCCATGTTGCTCAGGCAGGTCTCAAACTCCTGAGCTCAAGCAATCCACCTGTCCCAGTCACCCAAAGTGCTGGGGTTACAGGCATGAGCCACCACACTTGGCCAAGACTCTGGTTTTATACTCAGTAAAATGAGGCACAGAATCTGACCCCCCTCTTCTAAGGGTACTCTGACTGCTGTGCTGAGAGTAATTCGCAGACTATCTCAAGGCCAGCAACACAGTATTTTACTTTTCTTATTTAATATTGTCTTGATATATAAGTTCTTCTCTGTTGTTACCTTTGGAAGTTTTCATTTTTTAACATATATACACTTTTCTCTTTTCTGGTTATAAAATTAATATGGTCATTGAGGAACATTTACAATTATAGACAAGCATAAAGAAATACACACCTTCTAAAAATCTGGAATCCAAAACAACCACTGTTAATATTTCATGTATTCCATTTTTCTATGTTCTTTATGTTATTGAACCTACGTTCTTAAATGCATATTTTAAGTCTTTCCCAGTGTAATGAAGAACTCTTTGTAAACACCTCATTAGATATTCTAATTGAGGACATTTAAATTGTTTCCATTTTTTCTCTTTTTACTGTGTGCATAGCTCTTTGTCTGCATTTTAGATTGTATCCTCAGAATGGATTTCTAGAAGGAAAATGATTATTTTCTTGGAGACTCTTGAGTTATTATTTTTATTTATTTAATAATTAGCTGGTGTATAATTTTATGTAATTAAAAAATGCGCACAGATGATACATTTTCTGAGTCCTTGGTTATCTGATAAATTTTGCCTTTATATAAGAAAGACCACTTTACTGATAATGTAGTTAATCTGGGAGAAATGGAAAATGTAACAGGAGAATTGGTACCCAGAAAATGAGAGAGAATAGTGAAACTGTGAAAGAGCTGATACGTGTGTTTTTTAAAAATTAACTAATTCAAAGATATAAGAGAGGCTGGGTATGGTGGCTCACACCTGTAATCCCAACACTTTGGGAAGCTGAGGTGGGAAGATCATTTGAGCCTAGGAGTTTGAGACCAGCCAGCCTGGGAAACATGGTGAGGCGTTGTCTCTGCAAAATAAAAAATATAAAACTTAGCTGGGCATTGTGGTGCATGCCTGTAGTCCCTGCTACTTGGG